GAAAAGTTGGCAAGACCGTAAGCTTCCCCATATCCCTTCGGCACCCCCCCCCCCAATTAAATGAAATGATAGGTTAGAATTGAGTTAAATCCAAACTGTCAGCTCTGGGAGGCCTGTGTCATAGACCTTCCCAGCTTGAGGTGGTGGTCTATAAGGGCACTGCCCAGTTAGAAGCGCTGCTTTGAATGTGTCATTCCGTTTGACTGATGTATAAAATCCTAAGAAAGATGGCATTGAATCAAATTTGCTGCCTAAAGTTTGATTAGTTCAGTTAAAATAAAAGTGCATGTGACTAGTTGTGGGGTATGTTCCATAGAAATGTGATAGTAAGCTATGTGTTCAGAACTTTAAGCGCAGAAACACTGTGTTATTGTTGTTCAAATAGTCCTTTGTTTTTAGAAATGCTCCAACACATCCTGCTGAAGTGGTTTTCTGTAAGGAAGACTGGAATTAGCTGGGGCTGCCTGGAGCGTATTCACTGAGCATTTCCTGGTGGATGCTTAACTGTTGGGTTGTCAAAGGAAATCTCTGAAGTTTCTATCCCTATTGCTGTGGCAGCTACTGATCTTAGCAGCTGTGGTTTGATGATTAATCACTGTGCCCAGCTGCTGGGGGTTGAGGGGTTGGAGAATAAGACTTTAATCCATTTCTTCTAGTTTTCCTACTCAGTTCATTTTAGAGCCTAGAGCAAGTAGCCTAGCCAGCTCACACCCTTACCCTATAGATAGAGAGCAGTAGGATATAGGAATATGATGGATTCCCACCTTCCTGCTTTAGTAGTAGGTAACTACATGTTCCTAGATTTCCTAAATAATTCTGATCTTTGGGTCTTTTGCACTAATCCTCATTCAAAACTTGTATCTTTTAGGCTACCATTGAACAACTAATGTTTGAAGAGAAGAATAAAGCTCAGAGATTACAGACAGAATTAGATGTCAGTGAACAAGTCCAGAGGGATTTTGTAAAGCTTTCACAGACCCTTCAGGTGAGGCATTTGGGGAATCACTGCACAGAACATGGAGGCAGTTTGAAGGAGTGAACCTTGCCAACCTGACTTGACATGGGCAGTAGCCAGAGATTTACACTGTGGCTGCCCCTACCTCCATTCCACATGTCTGCCTTGTCATTCAAACCAGGAACCTGGTTCTTCAGACTCAGCCCCTTTTCTTTTCCTCTATACTTTGCCAATTTTGCCTCCTTAAGAATACTGAAGTGTAAGCCACTTGGCACACCATGTAACACTCTTTCCAACCAGGCCTACCCCTACATTTTGCTTATCTCTTTGCTTTATGTTTTATGTTCTAATGTTTTATAACTACTGTAGTTCCTTGCCCACAGCACGGCATTTCTTCTGCTAAGCATCCCTCTCTCATCCCCTCCTGACTCTTCCTTTCAAGGCCCAGTTTAGGTTTGTTTGCTGTATTGGAGGCCTTTCTAGGTCCCTGAGCTAAGCTAAAGTGCCTCCCTCCCTCGGCCACATTGCCTTAGCACTCTGAGATTAGTGACATTGGTATATTGCAGGCGTCCTCAAACTATGGCCCGTGGGCCACATGCAGCCCGCCGAGGACATTTATCTGGCCGGCCGGGTGTTTTTGCCGTCGCTCCCTGTCCTGCTTAGCAGCCGACTTGTCCTGGGGCTCACAGTTCCGCCCTCCAGTGGTCTGAGGGATAGTAAACTGGCCCCGTTTAAAAAGTTTGAGGACCCCTGGTATATTGTGTTAAAACTCTATAAACATCTTTTTTTCCAACTGAGCTATGGATTCTTAGGAGTTGAGAGTCAGGTTTCATTTGTCTCTATATTCCCAGCACTTTACATTTTGCAATCCCAATCTATTAACATAGCAGCGTGTAGGAAATACATTTTGAATGTACTAGTTTTTGTTGCCTGTCTTTTTTGAAGTGATTAACTGCCCTACTTCTCTGGGCAGTTAATTGGCTACATGTCAGCTAAATCAAATAAAGTTTAGAAAATCTAGACAGAAGCCACCTGCACTTATCTCACCGTTGTTTCTCCAGGTGCAGTTAGAGCGGATCCGGCAAGCAGACTCCTTGGAGAGAATCCGGGCAATTCTGAATGATACCAAACTGACAGACATTAACCAGCTCCCTGAGACATGACACCCTGAGAGCAGGATTCTAGCCTGCATTTTGGGTTTTTAACTCATCTTTAGAGCAACATTAATTATTATTTAACTCTTAACTAAAGAAACAGAAGTCACAGCAAAAAGAAGACTGGAGAAATGCTTAATTCTAGTGGGAGAAGCAGCAGCATAGGAACAGCAACCAGCTAGGGCGATTCGCAGCAGAAACCTTTCAAATGGGAACACTAATGAGACTCCAGACTTGATTCTAACAGGTGTGGGATCAGTCAGGTGATGGAAGAAGTGCTGTTGCCTTGCCTACTGTCTCCAATATAGATTTTTGGAACACATTTCCCTACCCTGAAGCAACATCCCAATAGCATTTGAAATTACATTTTCTGTTCATAGATATTGAAAGCAAGAATTTTCTTTTCTGTTGTCTAGAGCTCATCAGTAACAGTATTCAGTTAGCAGACAGAGGTGTAGTATGCTGTATGAATATTTTATATTAAAATATGAAGTTATGAGAGCAGGCCATTGGCTACTGACTGTATTTCCCTTGCTGAGTGCATTTTTTCCCCCTTTTACCATTTTATTTTGCATTGGAGGACCTTAAATGCTACTGAAACTTACCTGAGAACCACAGGGCTGTGGCAAACAACCAATTCAAGAACTGAATTAATTATGAAGATTTGAAAATTTGGTTGGGGGTATATATATATATGTTGGAAGTTGAAGTTAAAGGAAAAGCACAAGAAACTGTTCGGAAGCACTTTTCTGCATACTTAGATGATCTTTGTGGGCCCACAGGTACCAGGGAAGCTGAACTGGCACAATCTAATCTTTTGAAGTGTTTTAGTTACTGGATCAGTGAAAGAAAATTAATAAAACTAGCTTTTGTTTTACAAACTCTAGTATACATTTATAAGTTTGCTGCTTATTTTCAACTTGGATCAAAGAGCTTGAGTACTATTTGTTTCAAATGTGGCAAATACAAAAATGGTGGTAACTAGGTTGACAGATACTTTGTATTTTTCATTTATAATTTAGACCTGGAATGGAATGTTATAATGCTTATGGTAAAGTTTGAGGAAATAACAGTTAGTATACTGATCATTTTGAAAGTCCGCTTTGTCATTTTCTAAGTGGTTAAATTCCTTTCCTTTGTGGAGAAACCTTCAATGAAACAGATCTTTGCCATAGCTTTATGAAGTGTTGCACAAAGCACAAAGAATGGGTTTGTAGCCACTATTTACTTGCTGTAGTGCTGTTGCAGGGGAAGGAGACACTGTTTGTTTACGTCATCATCCAGATAGTTCAAAACTAAAATTGTTGTTCTCAAATAATTTTTGTGATTGGTTGTATAATAGTGGGTTATCTGAAGGAAACTTACGGGAATTAGTGAACTAAGTAGATAATCTGGTTCACTTAAAGCCACCATCAATTTACAGTTGTCTTTGTTATAAATGAAGTCATTAATGGACTTGCCGTAAAGATCTTTATTTCTGTCTTCCATAGGACAAATGATAAGGACTACATACATACCTTATCTCTTAGGTTCTTATTGAAGTCTTTGCATTCATGATTATGAATTTAAAAGTAAATGCTAATTATGGGAATAGTGCTAAAGGCCTGCCATGCATGAAACATAATTCTAATTGGTTTAAAGTCCCTTTGTATAAAGTGCTATGTGGTTTACATAAAGGAAACACATATCCTCATTCAATTTCAGGGAATTTTACTAATTACAAAAGGCAATCAATTTAAACTATATAGATTTAAGACTAGTTCCTTGGATAGGCCCCAAACTAATTTCAGATTATTATGATTAGCACTATAAATCAGGATGAGCAATTCATAATCTCTCTGAACCTGCTGAACTATAGCTTCCAGTGAAGTATTCTGCTGAAACTGAGCACCTTATAGATAATATTTTCCTCCAGAATATGGTACATATGGAGGCAATGAAATCATCATGATTAGGGAACTATGAATGGTCCCTGCTATGGCACATATAAACTGTTGGAATCTGGTTTGTTGAGGAAAATATAGAATAACCCAAACTGATATTCTAGGTTTTGTTTAACACTCTGTTTCTGGTATGAAACCAACTGTGACACTATCCAGGCAGGAAACAATTCTTTAATTTGGATTTTCTGTATCAATGGGAACTAATATAGGAGGGGATATAGCTCTTTTAGACAAAAGAAAAAGATCAGTTGGGTTTCGCGAGTGTTCTTGTGCTTATATTCCGTCTGTACCCACGTTCTCACGCATGTCTAACCTGATTTACCTCTTCTCTGTAATGTACCTTACCACATGGCTTTTAATTGGCAGTCACTCAGCCATTTCTAAGCAGGTATAGTATTACCTTTCAGAATTCATACTGGTAGGAATAAAATGATGATTTAAGCTGAGAACAAAACCACATACTACATACCAAGCAATTTCTCTCTTTCTTTCTTTGAGGTGCCAAACTTGCACACTGTACCCACTCAGAAACGATTTATAATAGGACATAGACAATAGCCAGACTCAGCTCTGAAAGGTAATACTGCCTGTGAAGAAGTGGGCCAGGGGTGGCCTTTTGCAAATGTGGATCTTGAGCTCTGCTCTCAGCAGATTTCAGATGTAACCATTTGTTAACTGTACTGAAAGTGTGTCCTTAAGAAGAAAGTGTTCAAATTAAAAAAGCTGCTGCCGAGTATATTGTGTGGTCTTTTCCTTTGAATTCTTGGGTTCTGTTCTTCAGAGTCATAGTTCTAGAGCTTTAAAAACTTAGCTCTTATTTTTGCTCATATATGGAGAAAACTCAGGATGCATGGAGATTTGGCAGTATACAGCTAAAAGTCTGTATCAGATTAAAAAAAAAATCTTGGTAAATATACCCATAGACCTGAGTTACAAAGCACACTCCAATTTTTAAATAAATGTATTTATTCAATAATTAAAAAACAGATAATATATTTAAAAAGATGAACCACCACATCAAAGGTCTTCCTAAATGCCTCTTTATAAATTAGATAATGCCACCAGTTTATTTTACAACATGGGTTAAGCATTCAGTGGCGGTAACTTCAGTTGTGAATCGGTCCCTCCTGGTGGTGTCAGAAGTTTATGTGATTGCGGATATCATTGATTTGCTTCACCATTTCCCTTATGTGTTCACCCCTGTAAAATCATAAAGTTGTTCATGTTTGGAAATACAGTAAATAAACCATTAGTATGGACTCTAAACATTTAAACTAGTAATGCTGAAATATCTAAGAATTGCTTTGCTAAAATTAACAGGTCAAGGTTTCAGATAGATAGCAAAAGTATTCACTATTTAAAGTGACAAACACTGGTACAGATACTGGTAATACTTTTAAACATATTCATTGTGATATACCTTTGACCACACAACACAATCATATTTCCAGAAAGCCATCATTTTCAATCCTCCCACCATACTCATTCCTTAGGTCCCTATCTATCATGTGACTCTCGTCCCAATTATTTGACTTGCAAACGCCAAGACTTATTTCTAATAAGACAGAAGTTGATTTGGGCCTAACTGCAAAGGAAGAGCTACCACAGTAATAGCTGGCTGTTAGTATTTACTTACTCCTCCTTTAGGATGGACTGAATGCACTTTCGCTGGTAAGCACTGAGAGTAATGGTGGGTTTTTGAAGACTCAGCACTTTTTCCATCTTTCGCTGTTGATAGTCTTTTTTCATAGTAACCTAAAGTACCAAATAAAAACATAGATGTCATAAGATATTTTAGTTATGGTTTGCCACACATTTTCACAGTATCAATTTTTTTTTTTTTTTTTTTTTTTT